ACCTGGACGTTGGTGACCTCCGGCAACACCTGGAGCTGCACACCTGGGACACCTGTGATCCCTGTGACACCTGTCACATCGGTGGCCTGGAGCTGAACACCTGGAACACCTGCCACACCTGCCCCACCTGCCACACCTGTGACCCCTGCCACACCTGGAGCACCTGTGACCCCTGCCACACCTGGAGCACCTGTGACCCCTGCCACACCTGTCACCTCGGCGGCCTGGAGGAGCTGCACACCTGCCATGCCTGCCCCACCCGCCCCACCCGTCACACCTGTGACCCCCGCCACTCCTGTCACACCTGTCGCCCCCCCCGCCGCCTCAGCCACCCCCACCTGCACACCTGCGGGCCCCACCCCGCCCCTCAGCACGATCACACTCGTCCCCACCCCCTCCTGTCCCGCCCCAGGCGGCACCACCAGGACGCTCTGCCAGGTGTGCGGCCCCTTCCCCACCTGCGCCAGGTGAGCCCGGGCGGGCACCTGGGCGGGCTTGGCGGGGCCGGGCAGCAGCAGCACCTTGCGGGGGGCGGCGGGCGGGAGGGGCGGCCCCCCCCCCGCAGCAGCAGGCAGGCCGGGGGGCGCGGCTCGGGCGCGCGGTGGGTGCGCAGGTGGCGCTGCAGGTAAGCGGCCACCACGAAGGCCTTGGGGCAGGCGGGGCAGCGGAAGGGCCGCGCGGCCGAGTGGGTGCGGCGGTGCAGGTGCAGGTTGGAGGAGTGGGTGAAGCTCTTGCCGCAGGTGCCGCAGGTGTAGGGCCGCTCCCCCGTGTGCACCCGCAGGTGCTGCCGCAGGTTGGCCGCCTGAGCGAAGCCCTTCCCGCAGGTGCCGCAGGTGTGGGGCCGCTCCCCGGTGTGGGTGTGGCGGTGCCGCCGCAGGCTCGACGAGTTCTTGAAGGCCTTGGGGCAGGCGGGGCAGCGGTAGGGCCGCTCCCCCGTGTGCGCCCGCAGGTGGTACTGGTAGTGCGACGCCCACTTGAAGGTGAGGCCGCACTGGGCGCACTCGAAGGCCCGGATGCCCGTGTGCACCCTCAGGTGAGTCTGGAGCAGCGAGGAGCGCTTGAAGGCCTTGCCGCAGGTGGCGCAGGCGTAGGGCCGCTCGCCCGTGTGGTCCCGCAGGTGGTAGCGCAGCCCCGAGGAGCCCTTGAAGGCTTTGCCGCACTCGCCGCACCTGTACGGCCGCTCGGGGGGCGGCGGCGGCTCCTCGGGGGCGGGCGCGGCCTCGGCAGCCTCGCCCAGGGCGTGGCCGAGCGGCACCGCCAGGTGAGCGCAGGGCTTGGCGCAGGGGCCGCCCCGGGGCCGCTCGGGCAGGTGAGGCCGCGCCGAGGGGCTCTTGGGGCTCTTCCCGCAGGAGAGGCAGCGCTGGGGCAGCGCCGGGGGCGGCCCGGCCGCCTCCTGCCCCGCGCAGGTGAGGCCGCTCCGGGGTGGCTCCTCGGGGGTGTCGGGGCCGCGGCCCGGCGGGTGCCTCTGCGGGCAGGTGAGCGGGGCTGAGGGGGCGTGTCCTGGCGGGTGGGCGGGGCCGTGGGTGCGGCGGTGCAGGTGCAGGTTGGAGGAGTGGGTGAAGCTCTTGCCGCAGGTGCCGCAGGTGTAGGGCCGCTCCCCCGTGTGCACCCGCAGGTGCTGCCGCAGGTTGGCCGCCTGAGCGAAGCCCTTCCCGCAGGTGCCGCAGGTGTGGGGCCGCTCCCCGGTGTGGGTGTGGCGGTGCCGCCGCAGGCTCGACGAGTTCTTGAAGGCCTTGGGGCAGGCGGGGCAGCGGTAGGGCCGCTCGCCCGTGTGCGCCCGCAGGTGGTACTGGTAGTGCGACGCCCACTTGAAGGTGAGGCCGCACTGGGCGCACTCGAAGGCCCGGATGCCCGTGTGCACCCTCAGGTGAGTCTGGAGCAGCGAGGAGCGCTTGAAGGCCTTGCCGCAGGTGGCGCAGGTGTAGGGCCGCTCGCCCGTGTGGCCCCGCAGGTGGTAGAGGAGGGCGGAGGAGCCCTTGAAGGCCTTGGGGCACTCGGGGCACTTGTAGGGCCGCTCACCGGTGTGGCTGCGCAGGTGGTGGGACAGGCGGGACGACCAGCGGAACGACTTCCCGCATTCCCGGCAGGTGAAGGGGTGCTCGGGGGCACCCGGAGTGGGGGTGGCGCCCGCCATGGTCACACCTGGGGGAGGAGACAGGGACAGGTGAGACCTCAGACGTTAAATACTGGGGGCAGGTGAGACCCCAAACCTGAAACACGGAGGGCAGGTGAGAGCCCAGACCTGGCATACGGGGGATGCAGGGACGGGTGAGACCCCAGACTCAGTCCGGAAGGTGGGGGGGGACACACACAGAGACAGCGCGGAGGGGGCGTGGCCAACACGGGGGGGGCGTGACCAGAAACCCTCCGTCCCCCCCTCCGTCCCCTCAGGCCACGCCCACGCCCCGCGCCAGCCCCACTCAAGCCCCGCCCCCTCCTCATCAGGCCCCGCCGCGCGCGAGCCCCGCCGTGCCACGCCCTCTCGCCTCAGGCCACGCCCCCTCCTCCCCTCAGAGTCACCTCCCCTTCCCCCCCCAGGCCCCTCCCCGCGCAAGCGCCGCCGCCTCGGCCCCGCCGCTTCCTCCTCCTCCTCCTCCTCCTTTTCCTCCTCCCCCCGGTTCTCGCTCACCCGCCGGGGCCGGGTCGGGATCTCGGAGGCTCCTGCGGGGCCCGAGCCGGGGCAGGGCCGGACCCGCCGCTGCCGCCGCCGCCGCGCAACGACCGGGCCGCGCCGCCTCCTGCGAGGCCACGCCCCCTCCCTCACGAGGCCACGCCCCACCCCTGAACCCACGGCGGCGAAGGCCACGCCCCCTCCGGCCAGGCCACGCCCCCGCTGTAGCATTTTGGGAGATTTTACTGGTTTTTACCGGTTTTTACTGGTTTTCATTTTAGGGGCGTTACAGGTATTTTAGGGGGTTACAGTTGCTTTGAGGGAGGTCGTGGGTGTTTTGAGAGGGTCACAGGTATTTTAGGGGAGTTACAGACCCCCAGGATGGCCTCAGTGGCCCCCCAGTACCCCCCCCAGTATGGCCCCAGTGTCCTCCCAGTACAGCCCCAGTATCCCCCAGTAAAGACCAACAGACCCCGAGAACAGGTCACAGGTATATTTTGGGGGGGTGTCCTAGGTCATTTTGGGGGGGGGGTCCCAGGTGATTTTTGGGGATCCCAGGTGATTTTGGGGGGTCCCAGGTATTTTGGGGGGTCACAGATGACTTGAAGGGGGTCCCTGGTATTTTTGGGAGGTCCCAAGATATTTTGGGCTGGTCCCAGGTGATTCTGGGGGGGCTCCTATGGCTCAGGTGAGGTCCCGGCTTCCTCTGGCATCTGGAGCAGGGGCTTGTCTGCAAAATTTGAGGGGGTCAGGAAGGTCTTGGGGGTCTTGGGGATCTTGGGAGAGGTTTTGGGGGGGTTTTGGGGGGGGTCCTGAGGAGCTTGAAGGAATTTGGGGGGGTTGTGGGGGGGCTTGGGGGGTTGGGGAGGGGTTTGGAGGGGTTTAGAGGGGCCTTGGTGGGATTGGGAGGGATTTGGGGG